TTATGCAAGCAAAATGTATCATCTTAACTAATTCCCAAATAATAACTGGTCTTCACATATTTCTAAAGTTAAATTTTGTTATGTACAACATCATTCAGTTTTTTCTATGACATTATTATATTGGCAAAGCAATGCTGTAAAACATTTAAGCTTGAAAACAACTGTCAACCAACATCAGTGTCAGAATCTTTAATACGAACATTAAGACAGTTCTATTGTATGGAGCTAAAACTTTGAAAACTACTACAAAGATCATCGAAGACGTATATGTATTCATTAAAAATTGTTTACATAAGATACTCAATGTCCGTTGACCGGATACCATCTATAACAGCCTACTGTGAGTGAGGGCAAACCAGTTCCCAGCTGAAGAGGAAATCAGGAAAAGACGATGGAAATGGATAAGACATATATTACGAAAATCATTAAACTACATCACGAGGCAAGTGCTCACTTGAAGTCTTGAAGGGAAGTGGAAAAGAGAAAGAATAAAGAACATACTGTGCCGAGAATCTGAAGCACACATGAAAAGGATGAATGTTAACTGGGAAGAACTGGAAAGGATTTCTCAGGACAGAGTTGAACGGAGAATGTTGGTGGGTAGCCTGTGCTCCAGCACGCAGAATTCGAACCCAAGACCTTTGGCCTCGTGTGCGAACTCTTTACTTCTAAATCATTGAACCTGCAGGGATCCAGCGGTGATAACTTTAACTAATCCATAATATTTCACCACGATCCACCATTGTATTCAGTAATTGACTGCCTCACAACAAACAGTGTTTACCATTACTTATTGGGGTGATCCTGAAAATATCTCACAACAGACAAGAAAGGCTCAGGAAATACTAAGAAGTATTTTATCCAATAGGCGTTTGACTAAAAGTTTTGCTAGAAACATCATGAAAGTAAAAATTCACATGTAGAGTTCCTGATTAACTGATTACTACACTGCTACTATGTTTAGTAGTATTCCAGGATTTTCAGGAAAACCCAAGGACTTCTATAAAAACCATATATTTTCTGTACATGAATGAACCTCTGGAGTAAAGTGGTTCTCGTATAGTTTGCACCTTTTCTCTCGTGTTCAAGTCACTGTAGTTCTAGCTTGGGGGTTACAAGATTAGCTTAGGATTCGAGTATAGCGTTCAATTAGCAAGAATCGAATGTCTCAGCCAATAATCAATTATATTAAGTATCTATAGTGAACAACTATATTTCTCAACTGGAATTATGATGAAGTTTACAATGAATGGATTCTTCATAATCAATACAATCTAAAAAAGATCTCCATGATAGTTAAATATAAACTGAAAATGGCAGAAAAGATTAATAGTTCAGCTGAATGATTTCAGTGGGGAATAGTTAGAAGGTTAGTGCTGATGATATTGTTCAGAAGAACAATGAAAACTTTAGAACCAATCCATCCAGCTAAAAGAAGAGAAAACCCCACTCCCTCAGTTTCTTTAGTATAATTTTACACTAATATTGTAGTGAATAAGAACACTGGTTGGGGACAATCGAATGTACTTGACACGGCAATTACAGACTATCTCATTAAAATCTGACCATACAGTAAACAGTCAATATGCAAATTATCAATCAATTGACTCAATTTTCACCATTCCTCCTGCAAATATCAGTCCATAGTCTCCGATCCCTATTGTACATGCATTATCATACCAACTGCATCCCGTTCCCGTTTTCTCCTTATCAATCTTCGACTGAAATACATTGAATGCTCGACCATCGTTATATACTACTTATGTGGATATAAGTAGCCTACACCACACTATTTGTTTCATATTCACACAATATTCAATTTTCATAGTTGAAATCATGAGTGGATTGAAGCTAGACCACCATGGAAAACCTGGAAGCATTGGACGGCCGTTTCGTCCTATTATGAGATTCCTCAGCAGTGTGCATCCACGATTGCTCCTCACAAAATTCGAACCCAGGACCTACCAGACTAACTTAACCGATAGACCACTGAGCCGGCACCCAACGGTGTTAATGTTCGATTCTCGCGAGTGCGGGATCGTGGATGTGCACTGTTGAGAAGTCCCACAATATGACAAAACGGCTGTCCAGTGATTCCAGGTTTTCCATGATTGTCTAGCTTCAATTGATTCATGATTTTAACTATGAAAATACTGAAATCTCCACAAAACCCCTTTTCTGATCAACATTCAATTTATAATCCAATCATGATTATCATCACTTTTTTAATAGATTGTTATTAATATCTACTTCCTTGTTTGATTTTCTTATATCCTTCTTGATACTCATCCATAAACATTGAGTTGTCATGACTTCTATCGTCCTTCATTCATTCATTCCCTCTATGGTGTTTTTATTGCTCCTTTTGATATTGTAATTTAAATATTTTCACTTATTTTTTCTGCGAAATTTAAAAGTGTCCGATACAATTTTAATGACAAAACAGAAAATAGACTTCAATTAATAGTTTTGTTGGGAAAAAAACATAAATTTTCCTTCAAGTAAACAAACAAACAATAAAAAAAAATGAATTAAAACTTCTCCCCTCCCTCTTATTGTACAACCTAGTTACTATATGGACTCTGTAGCTAAGTGAATAAAGTGATAGAGTTTAAAGAGAACGGTACTAGGTTACAGTTTTGGAGTGAATATCAACACTGAGATGTAGGTTCACCTAGCTGACGAGTCTCAAAAGGGATGAAGTGACGCGTGTCAAACTGGATTCCACTGCAAGCCACTATTCATCTTTGCTTAGAATACTTGTAAATTAAATCATTATCGAGGCAATAAATAAAGTATTCACATATGCCACTAAGAGACTGATCAATTGTAATTCTAAACATCAATGGAAGGATTCATGTAAACAATACTAAGTAAATTTAAAGTTCATCCCATTTTACAAGTAAATGGCTTTAACGACTCAGTAGATGGGTAGATAAAGCGATAGAGTTTGAAGTGAATGGTACTAGGTTAAAGTCTTGAAGTAAATATCAACCCTGAGATGTAAGAATATAGAGTAGACGAGTCGCAAATAATCTTTATTAATATATTTTCTGTTGTTTGAACTTCGTAGGTGTTATGTCCTATGACCAGTAAAAACAGCACTAACAATCTTGAGTCCACTCTGTCCTTATTGGTTCTTTATATAGCATTTTCTTGCCTAACTTAGCCTCTTCAATTTAGAATACAATTATCAACCTTCGCTATACGAATCATATATCTTTGATATTCAAATCGTTTAAATACAACCAAACTAGACGGTATCACACGATAAAATGAGGATCAAGCCAATAGTGGTTGTGAGTGTGAAAGGCTGTAATTTACCAACTAATTTTAATTTAAGAGCAGTAACTAATAGGTTAAACTTAAGCTTATAATAAGAGAAATATGAATATACATATAATCTAGTTCAGTAGCAGTTTTTTTATCATGTTAGTTTCCTACAGGAAGACGTTGCTAACCCCATGTACCAACCATCCTCCTTTATCCGAATTTGAGACTGACAGTATCCCTAGATGCGCTCCAGGCTTAGTTCATAATCTAAATACTTAATAATAATTGAATAAGGATGTCTACAATAAGCAGGTTGCTATCAGGACTCAGTAACCAATTGGATAACGAGATTAACGTCTGAAGCGAATGATACTGAGTTTGAGTAATAGAGTGAACATCAACTCTAAGATTCAAGTACATTCAGTTAAAGAGTCTCAAAATAGTATGAAGTGACATGCATCCTGAATATCACTGCTATTCACTATCCATTTTTTGTTTATAAAGTCTACATTAATAGTTTATAAATAGTTCCCAAAAAGTTATTCATAATTTAATCAACTTCAAACATAACTGTAGGTCAGGAGGGATTTTGTGGATATCATAGTAATTTTAATAGTTGAAGTCATGAATCAATTGAAGCTAGACAACTATAGAAAACCTGAAAACACTAGATGTCCGTTTTATCCTATTGTGGGACACCTCAGAAGTGTGTATCCATGATCCCATCTCGCGAAGATCGTAGTTAACCGCTCGAGTGCGAGACTAATATTATTATTATTAGCTTTTTTTCAATATAGAATTCTCAGCACAAAGTACTTCAACAAGTTTCCGTTTCTTACTTCTTCGTCCTTCGTGACGATAAATATTGAGTGATTGCCAGTTAGAAGTTAGCAGCCTAGTCAATCAACATCTGGATAATGTACATTCTTATCTCTGCATATTGTCAGCAACCACGATATCTCTGATTAGGCCTTTTGTAACTTTTACAGCGAAAGGTCTTACACTTTTCAGAAACGTACCTTAATAGTTTGTACGATTAATAGACATAATGATGTATTAAAACAAACAAAGTTAAATAACTTTTTGAACTATCTAGATGACAGGAGCAGGTAGTCCAAATGTTTAAACAGGCTGCCAGTAAGATCTCCGGCTGAAATCTCTCTTTTGGCAGGATCTTGAATGCTCACTGCTGTGGAGTCTCACAATAAGACCAAACAGCCATCTAATACTTCCATATTTCCCTATAATTCTCCAACTTCAATTGACTAATGATTTCAACTATAATTAACTGACGAGTCCCAAATAGAACGAAACGCGCGTCCTGGATTCCACTGCTAGACACTATTCATCTTTGCTTATAATAAAATGTGTTAATGTCTATTAATTTATAATTTCCATATATTCTATTTCTGTCCATAGAAGAAGAAGAAGAAGAAGAAGAAGAAGAAGAAGAAGAAGAAGAAGAAGAAGAAGAGGAAAACAATCATCATTAACAATAAAGTAGTATACCGACTAAATCATCAAAATGAAATGATACATTCATAATGATAATAACAACCTACAATATTGGGAAGAGAACATATATAAATTATCCCAAACAATTTGATTGGTTAAAATATTGTTTAAATGGGAAATAGTTTGTGTGTGTGTGTGTGTCTAATTGTGTGTGTGTGTGTCCATTTGTGTGTTTGTGTGTATTTATATTTAAATAATGAACAATTTTAATAATTAGTTTTAATAGTTAATATTCAAAGTTAAAATAAAGTCTATTCATCAATCTCTAGAATGATTTATTGTTGGAATAAAAAGATCGTCAATTCAATGAAACTGGTACTTTATCCAAGTTTTTGAATATACAAGAACGATCTATACTTTCATTGAATGTACTAATAACAATACAAATTGTTGATATTTCTGATCCTTCCATGGAATATCTATCATAGTGATTAATTCAATGAACATTGATATATCTTTGAACTTGATTGGTTAGAATAAAACATTCAATACTTAAAAGATCTAGTTAAACAATAATAATCAATAAACATGACTGAACAAATCCCATTTCAACGTACATCAACATTAAAACATCGTATTAGTAGAACTGGTTCAGTTGGACAAGATAATAATAATAATAATAATAATATAACTGGTAGTATCAATATATCTAGTGGAATAAATACTGGTATACAACAACAATCAAGTATAAGAAGAGCATCAATTATGCAAAAATATATGGGTGAAATAGAATTTACTGGATTAAATCAAACAGCTAGAGTAAGTTCTATGTTTCTATTATGATTCCTTTGAGGTACATTTTATTACTATTATTACTATGATAAGTAAATAAGTAAAGTAATCCCTAGTTACATAATTAGTAGTTCAGTGATTAATATTTGAATAGTCACAATTGATTGATCATTGAATGGTAATCGATGTCATATGTGTCAAATTCTTCTTAGTGATAATTGAATGTTATCGATCAAGTTGTAATATGACATAGTAGTCTAGGTGGCTTAATACTACATGTACTATATATTGAGATAAGATGATGATTGGACCACTTCCAACTACTATCTTATATCTAAATAGTGTTTTGTTATATTCAATGTATATTAACTGCCCCCCCCTCCCTTGCACCTCCTCCCTAATCACAATGTCTCTGATGATGATTATACTTTGTTTTTTTTTTTTTTTTAATGTAAGTTGTACAGACAAAAGTTGTAAACATTTGATTAATAGACATAATGATGCATTGATGACAGGAACAAGTAACTTAAATATTCAATAACCGCCTTTAAAATTATCCTATTATTCCTGTCAGATATAAAAAGAAAAAACATATTCCTTTATGCATTGATAGTACCATTAAAGTACAATATAGACATTGTTTTGGGCATATTAAATATCAAAACAAAATTTCGACATCAATTATCTAAACAAATAAAAACAATGAAATTTAAACAGTAAAGATGAATAGTGGCTGGTTGTTGGAATACAGGATGTACATATAGTCAATTAAATACTGATCATATTTAGAAGGAGATTTGTGGAGATTTCAGTATTTTTCAAAGTTGAAAGAGTGAGTTAATTGAAGCTAGATCACCATCAAAAACCTGGAAAAACTGGACGGCCGTTTCGTCCTATTATAGGACTCCTCAGCAGTTCGCATTCACGAACTCACACTTGACACATTCGAACGCAGAACCTACCAGTCTTGAGCCAGAGTTCTTAACCAATAGACCACTGAGCTGGCATCCAACGGTGTTATTGTTTAATTTCAACTGATTCACGAAGTTTAGCCACCATTCATCAATTGTCTTCAGTGAGTTCCTATCTCACAACAGACGTGGTTTTGAACTCCACTGGTCACTGCTTCTCACTACAGCTACTAGATATACTTCTCGAAATCACTAGTGAGCATATTATTATATTAATTATAGAAGGAGTTTTGTGGAGATTTAGTATTTATCATTGTTGAAAGCGTGAGTCAATTGAAGCTAGACCACCATCAAAAACCTGGAAACACTGGACGGCCGTTTCGTCCTATTATAGGTCTCCTCAGCAGTGCGCATCCACGAACCCACACTCGACACATTCGAACGCAGAACCTACCAGTCTTGAGCCAGAGTCCTTAACCGATAGACCACTGAGCTGGCATCCAACGGTGTTAATGTTTAATTTCAACTGATTCACGAAGTTTAGCCACCATTCATCAATTATCTTCAGTGAGTTGATATCTCAAAACGGACGTGGTTGAACGTTGGATGCCGTTGGATGCCAGCTCAGTGGTCTATCAGTTAAGGGCTTCGGCTCGAAACTGGTAGGTCCTGGGTCAAAATCCCGCGAGAGTGGGTTCGTGGATGCGCAATGCTGAGGAGTCCCGTAATAGGACGAAACGGCCGTCCAGTGCTTCCAGGTTTTTGATGGTGGTCTAGCTTCAATTAACTCATGATTTCAACTTTGAAAAATACTGATCAGTTGCAGTCGTAAACATTAATGGGAAGATTCAAACAAAACAATATTGTAAATGAATTTATCTAATCCATTCTCTAAATGATGAAAATGATATAAATGATGATTTAGATTAAACTACTTATTTATGAATTATACTACTGATTAACAACGACGGTATACAAAAATTAAAAAAAATGGATGATCTGAAGAGCTTCGCAATAGGACGAAACAGCTATCTAGTACTTCTAGATTTTTTCATGGTAGTCTAGCTTCAATTAACTCATGATCTTAACTATAAGTTGAATTATTCAATGGAATCATTTCTAGAAGTGTAGTGAACGAGAATACAAGTGGAGACTAATTGAATGTATTACAGACCATCTTAGTAAAATCTGAGAACCATACAGTAAATACTCCATATGCAAACTATTCATCAACTGTCTCAGACTTCATTGTTTCTTCAGTTTCCACACGAATTATTCTTTGTTCTCGTTCCGTTTTTCTTTGATCTTCTTAATCTTGTACTGCCACTAGGCATTTCACTTTCGATTGCTGATATATACTACTTATATCTGTTGACATTAGTAGTACACATCACAGAAGTAATCAGATAATTCATTGACTTAAAAAAACTTATAATTATTAGAAAAAGGGGGTTTTGTAAGGATTGTAATAATTTTGATTTAATAATTGAATTCATGAATTGAATAAAGCAGTGATGATCATTGATAACCTGGAAGCAAGAGACTATTGTTTCGTCCTAGTTACTAGTTATTCCATGTTGATCTAGCTTTACTCAACACATGAACCCTACTATTATATTGAAATTGTTTTAATCCATTGGAATATATTCATCTATATGATAAGTTCTATTTATGTAAAAGTGTATTACTTACTTACTCCTGTTACTCCTAATGAAGCATAAACCGCTGACTTGCATTCTTCAACTCATTCAACCCACTTAGTTTTCTTTTCTGATTCTATCCAACGTTTGTTCATTCTTCTCATATCTGTCTCTATTTTGTGTTTAAAATAAGCAAACAATAATGGTGTACTACAGAATTACATTGAAAATTTCATTATATTTGATTAAGGAACTAATCATTACTAAAAGTTCCTTGTTGGAGATACGATAGTTACTTACTAAATTATATACGCTTGTTATCCCTTAATGGACATTAGGACGTCGACCAGCATTCTACAACCTACTTTGTCCTGGGAATTCCTTTCTAGTTCTATCTAGTTGCGACTCATTCTTCTTATATCTGTCTCCATTTCTCGGTGTAGTGTGTTTTTTGATCTTCATCTTCTTCTTTGGCTTTGAGGACTCCATGTGAAGGCATGTCTTTTGACTCATTCGGATGCTTTCCTAAATGTATATCTTATCCCCTTACCATCGATTCTTCCTCATTCCTTCCTTCATTGGAATCTGGTTTGTTCTCTCTCGCAGTAGGTTGTTGTTAATAGTGTTCGGCAGACAGATCCGAAGTATTTCGCGTAGACAACTGTTAATAAAACACTTGTATCTTCTGTATGATAGTTTTCTCAGTTCTCCAAGTTTCCGCTTCATATGGTAAAGCTGTCTTGACATTTGTATTGAAAATTCTGATCTTGGTGTTGGTTGACAGACAGTTGTTTTGAGTTCCAGATATTCTTGCTTTGCCGATCCGCATGTAGAATCTAGTCATCACTAAGGTACTGATATTGTTTTTAGAGTAACTGTTAGTTCCAAAAAGAAACTGGATCTACTGATTTATCTTAATTTGAAATATTTCAGTGTAGAAAAATGTTGGCGGCTTACTTGAATATCTGAGTTACCAATTCTTGTCATCTGCACATTTCAACAAGTTTCCTATGTTTAATGTCAGAAGGGATTTCGTGGATAGTATTGTAATTTTAATAGTTGTAGTAGTATATACATGTGTTTATAGTAGTATATATATACATATTGCAAATAGATCCAAATTACAATCAATCTACTCCAGATTTAAAATTTTTAAATTAAGTAGTCAAAAGTTCAAAGACGTTTTTCGTGATATTCATGGATTGGTTGAAGTTAGGCATTAACATCGTTGAGTGACGGCACGTTCAGTGGTTTGGAGGTTAAGTGCTGATGCGCGAGACTGATCGGTCCTAGGTTCAAATCTTGCGAAGCGGGATCGTGGATACGCACTACTGAAAAGTCCTACGATAAGACGAAACGGCCGTTCAGTGCTTCCAGGTTTTCCGTGGTGGTGGTCTAGCTTCAATTAACTCATGATCTCAATTAATAAAATTTTGTTTTTGTTTGTTCCGTTTTACGGATCGTTATGTCTATTGATTGCATATCTTATTCAAGCATATTTATCAAATGTTTACCACCTATCACCGCACAACCTTTGTAGAGTAAAATCATCATCAAAGACCATTTGATGACCGGCAGACAATATACATTGAAAAAAAATTAAAAAAATGATTCAGATGTCAATTCCTAAACGTCTTATATCTAATGAAGGATCATTCAGTATTAGTCGCCAAGATCGATGGAGAAATTAGAATAGGAAACTTGTTGAATACGTTTCTTTCTGAGGATTCTATATTGTCACAGTTGAAATCATGAGTCAATTGAAGCTAGACCACCATCGAAAATCTGAAAACACTGGACGGCCGTTTCGTCCTATTATGGGACTCCTCAGCAGTGAGCATCCATGATCCCGCACTCGCGAGATTCAAACCCAGGACCTAACAGTCTCAAACCAGAGCCTTTAACTGATAGATTGATTAAAGCTACTACTAATAATACGAATACATGATCTAGATCAAAACATATTAGATTTACATTACATTATGTACGATCTTAAATTGATCCCAATATTGTGAATTCAGTCATTCCAACTTCAATATTCACCCTATTTTCACCTTTAATTAGTTTAGAATAAGAAAATTCCGATGTATAGGTGACTTGTAAAAAGAAAAATACTAGTTAGATCAGTCGTGTTTATTACTTGTGAAAATCATCATTATATTCTATAACATTGGTAATAGTAGTAGTGTAGTGTGTACTACTGATACCGACAGATATAAGTAGTATGTAACATTGACCAAAAATGAAATGTCTAATGGCATAAGGTTACTATTTAAACGACACAGAACACAATAAAGAAAGTAATCAATCTGATGATGATGTAATACTTCTGATTATTAGAAAGTATAAACAAAAGCATCTTTATAAGCAAAGATGGATAGTGGCTAGTAGTGGAATCCACTTTGACGCGCGTCAATTCGTCTTATTCGGGATAAGTCAGATAGATGTACCTGGATATCAGAGTGGGTGTTCACTA